TTGCTTAGAGTATTGCAAGGATGCAATCAGAGTGTCAGCCAGACTGCTTTCCTTCCTCGAGCTCAGGCTTTTCTGCCAAGCTCAAGTGTTTGTTGGAAAAATTCAGTTCCTGTGGTTGCAAGACTGAGGTCCCAATTTTTTTTTTTTAAATCCTCACCTTTTGGTGCACGGGACGATGCTTCAACCAACTAAGCCACCTGGCCAGGATGATCCCTGTTTTCTTGATTGCTGCTGGTCAAGGATCATTATTAGCTCTCCAGGCCTCCCTTAGATCCTTGACTTATAGTCCCCTACAACATTGCCAAGTTACTTATTCAAGATCAATAGGAGAATCTCTCTGACCAGGGAGGGCCCCTGGCCTTCTTTTACAGGGCTCACCTAATTAGTTTAGGACCAGCCAGGATAATCTTGCTTTTGAGGAAATTAAAGTCATATTAAGGGCCATAATTTACATCTACAGAATTCTATTTGTATATGATATAATTCAAATAATGCAATCATTGGAGCGATAGCCCATCATATCCATGGGTCCCACCCACATACGGGGGAGAAAATTGTACAAGAGCATAGATTATTGGGGATCATCTGAGAATTCTGTCAACCATCTTTGCCCTATTACAGAAGGAATCCTTTGCTTTGCCCATTACTGAAGAATGGATTCTCCAACATGTACTTGTTTCTTACAGTTGCTTAGAGAGTTCTTTCCTGTTCAGAGATTAATGCTTCTTCAATGTTATATTTAAATAAATAATAACTAATATCTAGTTTTAAACTTTTATAGTGTTAAGTTCTATTTTATAACCTTTGGTTAGAATATTGAATACATGTAAATCAATACAAATCTCAGTACTTATTGAAGTCAACTTTTAAATTGGAATAGACTTAAAAGATTATAGAGGGATTGTACTGCCGAGATATAGAGTAACACACATTTGCCTTCAATAAACTTGTAGTCCAGTAGTGATCTTAAATAAAGATCAAACAAATAACTCGTAACTTAAGACAAAGTAAGATTTCTGCCATGAGAAATGATAGGATTATCATCCTATATAATAAGAGAGGAATATGCTAATTAGCCATTACGCTCTGAGGCATAAAGACCAAGTGTGACACGACCAGATCACTGATCCGTAGGAGGGTGGGCCAGCGAGGTACAAGCGGGTTATGGAGAGCTACAGGAGTGGGCAGGGCAGCAAGCTATGAGAGGGTGAGGGGGGAGGGGGGAGGGGGGAGGGGGGAACTACAGGAGGGCGGCAGCGACCAACTGGCTACAAGTGGGCAGCAGAGAGGTACATGATGGGGCAGGGCAGCAAGCAAGCGGGAGGCAGAGAGCTTCAGGAGAGGGCAGGGCAACAAGGTATGAGGGGAAGGTGCAGGGAGCTACAGGAGGGCGGGGCAGCAGGCAGAGAGCTACAGGAGCGCAGGGCAGTGGGCAGAGAGCTACAGGAGTGCAGGGCAGTGGGCAGAGAGCTACAGGAGGGCGGCAGCGACCTACTGGCGCACGGATTCGTGCTTAGGGCTACTAGTACATATATAAGAAAGCTTTTTGTTAATCCAGGTCCTTGGCCTTTAAAACATTCCTCATACTACATGGTTGCATTTACCACAAGATAATAATGCTAACAATAATGCTGTGTACTTAAAATTTACCCAGTGCTATCATTGATATTTAAGAAAACTCTGCCCTCAAAATTACCTTTGCTAGGTAAGCAGCAGCATCTCTGTTTTCCATGAGGACAGAAAGTGAAATGCCCGCTTGCCCACATCACTCAGCTGGTAAGCAGTAGACCCCAGAGTAGACCTCAGAGATGATGAGTCTTCCTGTGTTTTCTTATCATTTATGGTTTTAATATAATATAACAAATATTTATTTTTAAATCTTTGATGGTAGATAGAAATGCAATAATATAGAAATAAGAAACATGCTCCTGATTTTAAAAATGACTACTAGTAATCTCAATTTATTGGTAGATTTTACTGCAAATCTCTTTCTAACAGGATTGCCACAGAAGTAGTCTCACATGCCAAAGCAAGAGTATTGGTAAACAAAGAAGGTTTTATTTGTACTTCTTGTCTCATCTATAGTATTTCTCAAATAAGAAATAGAATTCTTAGACTAAGAGAAGTAACAGAGCCATAATTATCTGTCCAAAATTCTAAGGGATAATCAGAAGGTTCCAGATTGATGGCCTGTTTTCTCTATTTTGACAAGTGCTCTTATTTCAAGGCATAAATAACTAATATGAGAAATATATTTTAAATGGTGCAGATTTTAAATATTGTTTAAGCAAAACATGATTTACATTTTAATATATTCTAAGTTATTGGGTTTATTATCTCCAAATTTCAGTATTTCTTAATTTTTATATTGTTAAATTAAAATTAGAATCTACATATATGTAGAGAAAACATTTATTGGCTTGGTTTCTCCTCAATGAAGGATATATTTACAGTGTCTGGATCTGCCATTGTGAAAGGAATAGACAGAAATCGAATGGCATACACATTTGACAAATGAAAGAAGCTGCCAGGACTGTTCATAGGAAGTGAAGAGCCTCATCGAAGTTTAGTTTTCTGAGTTGCCTGGGACCCACCTAGAATTGTAGCCATGAATTATGTCTCACCAAATTAAAATCTCAAAAGTCCAATTTAGATGCAGAGCATTTACTTCCAGGATTGATAAGTGTTCCAATGCACGCTACTTAAGTAAAAGCTAATGATATGACATGGCTAATAAAAGTGTATTTAAATTTATATAGTGATAAACTAATGGATTATAAATACCCACTGAAATTAATTTTTGTCTTTTCAGCACCATCTGTGCTGCAAATAGGAAGACTTGAGTTTTTGAAACCATTCTTTTGGTTCTTACTATATAGAAAGCATTGTTTGTAGATACTATAGGGAATACACAGGTGAACAAAGTCACAGTCCTCTCGCATAGATTTACTGGGGCTCCTGGTTGAGAAACAGGCACATTGCTATGGGAGCTAAGAAAATGGGGGAGCTGCTTTGTTGAGGAAAAAGAATAAAGTATACAGGATTTTCATAAAGGAGGAAATAATAAGTTGCTCTTTAAGCATGAGAATGAATTCAGCAGAAGGAAACTCCATGTGTAGAGTCCTTGATGGAGAAATGGCAGACATGTTTGGGGAATGGCAGGCAAGTTTGACTGCAGGTGCTGTCTGACTGAAACATGAACTGAAGGTAAATCTTAGAGAGCCTAATATAACCACAAACATCCCAGCTTTATTCTACATAGGTGCAGAAGTTTGAAGGGTTTTTGAATAAAGGAATACAGGTCAGTGATGTTTTAGGAAATAAGTTGCAGGGAGGAGTGTTATTACAGTACTCCCAGTGGAGAGTCTTCATTAAAAAGTGGCAATAAGGGCAAGACCGGTTTGGCTCAGTGGATAGAGCATCGGCCTGCGGACTGATAGGTCCCAGGTTCTATTCCGGTCAAGGGCATGTACCTTGGTTGTGGGAGGTGTGCAGCAGACAGCTGGTCGATGTTTCTCTCTCATCGATGTTTCTGACTCTCTATCCCTCTCCCTTCCTCTCTGTAAAAAATCAATAAAAATATATTTTTAAAAAATTTTAAAAAGTGGCAGCAGGGAATGAATATGAGAAACATCACATAACTTGTAGAACCTGACTATTGATTGGACATAGAAAATCAGTAAATAGGGAGGGAGATAGATACAAGCTTGGATGGTAACCAGTAAGATTTTCAGTTTTAGGGAAATTATGAGTTTACTTTAAGATATTAATTATTAGGTACCTTTGGGAAAACTCATGAATGAATCTTTCCTGAGATTCCATAGAATCATACTTTTAGATCATAAGTTAAAATATAACCAAAGAAATTGTTTTTTTAGCAAGTATACTTTTTTTCATGAAAACCTAGTATAATATCAAATCGTAGTTTTAAATCAGTGATCTGATATACTCATATTTAACAGTATACACATGCATACATAGATAAAAATGGAATTATAGATTTATTTGTATAGTTTCTAGAAGTTGTTTTTAAATATAGTGTTAATACTTGTTATTAAGTCTTATATTACTCTGCACGTTAGCTACATCTTTTACTGTTTCTAATTAGAATTCTTAACAAAGACAGATTTCCCCCCCTCTGAGAGGTTTCAGTACCATTTTGTCTAATTGTTCCTTATGCTAAACTACCATATTACAAGCTTCTTTGGAATAATAAAATAGTAGTGCAGTTATCCTCTTCAGGAGCTCTGGGTTGCTATGCCTTTACAGCTTGGTGGCATTCTGCTGACTACAGATTGGTGTGAGCAGGGATAACATTAAGACAGTTTGTTCTACACGGTTTCATAAAAACATTGCCAGTATGTCATTTAGTAAAATGTTTATGTAATTAAAAATTCAGATGTAAGGAGTTTAGTGCAGTCTACCTCAACATTACAAAAAGGACTTGTCAACTATCAATCAAGTTCATAAGAGTGAGCAAATTTGTTTATATGCTATTTATTTGATCTAAATCTCTAATAAGCCTCTTCTGCTAATTGGACTTAACATTTATGTTGCTAAATGAGAAGCATTTTGGCTGCTATATAGAATGGTAAGACCTACCCAATGGAATAAACAACTAACATCTGTTATCTCGTCCTGCTCCAGCTTGGCTTTTACCAGTTAAGTACATCAGCCCTGAAGTCAAGGTTATCACATATGTGAATCTCTGGCTCACCCATGTATATGTGAAGGCATAGAAATAGCACACCGTGAGTGAGGACCAGCCAGCCAAAAGCTATTGAGTACAGCTGGTCCATTTTTGTTTTAACCTTTACAAGCCCTACAACCTTAAGAAAAAAACTCATAGAGGTTATAATTTTTATAATAGCTATTTTATAATTAATTTTATTTCTTTTCCTTAGCATTTTTCTGCTTGTAGGATTTTATGCTGATAAGTGTTATATCAAATGTAATTACTTTTATAATACATTTACTTTTATTTTCTTTTTTAAAAAAAGAAGCTAAATTTGGATTTGGCTGATCTTCGGAAAGAAAAAGAAGACTTATTAAAGAAATTGGAGTCCTCATCTGAAATCACAAGTTTGGGAGAAGTTTCCCAGGTAACAATTCCACGGATACAAGTTACATCACTTGGTCCTTCAAGAAGCATGGATTTGGAAATGAAGCAATTACAGTGCAAACTAAAGGTGACTATAATTTTTATTAAAGATGAAACACTCATTTACTGACTCTTAGAGACACTTTTATTCTAATTTAATTCTAGTAACAATGGTAAATTATGGTATAAATAATCAAAAAATTATTAAAACTGACCTCATCTTTCTAGTTTAACCAGGTAAATTCTTATCTAGTAATTCATAATACTATTCTCTGAAAAAAATGACAACACACCATGATATCATCCTAACTTGAGAGATGATGAAAACTGAACATTATTGCTCAACTCTCTGCCCCCCATTCCTCCCTCTACTGAACAGAATTCCTTTCAAATAGTAATTATCAACATAAGTAGAATGCTTCCCTTTACACACTCGCTATTATTTTAATTTGGTTGTTGTTGGTTGCAGATGAGGTAGCTGGAGGCAAGTGAGGGGAGGGAGAAGTACAGAGCAAAGGTGGGTGGGTTTAATAAATTTCAGTAAGTTAAACCTGAGAGTAAGAATAAAAAGCAGTGTTTCTTTTGTTTATAAAAAATAGTAGTTAAGTCCAGGTGAAACTGTCAACAACTTAAAAATAAGGCTAACCTTAATTTAAATAGAATTATCTTGCTGTTTAAAAAAACTCATTTATTCCTCACATATTTTCTTCAGTGGGGATTTCTAGCTGGAAGCTAAAGGGACAATGTATATGGTACCATTACTATAATGAGAAACAATGGAAAGAAAATTCTGGTTGGAAATGCAGAGTCTGTTAGGAGTAGAATAACTGTGACTGTTAAGAGAGTATTAAAATACTGAATTGTCAAATATCTCAGTTGTTTTCAATTAAAATATGTGTGCACTTGCCAATAATATCTTCAAATGAGCAATTACTAATAAGATAAAATATGATTGAGTTTAAAGTAAATGAATGTATCATTGCTTGAAAATATTTTGCTTTTTAAATAATCAGATATACACACTGGAATTAATTTAGATGCTTTTAAATACCATATTCTTTAGACAGTGTTTCTGTACAGAACTTGCCTCAACCACTACATTTTATAAGTTTAAATACCTGACATAATAGAAATGTGAGGAAAATAGTTTTAGGCTTTGGTGCATGTATCTTTTCTTAAAATGTGTTTCTGTGTCTGAAAAAGTGGAATAAAATATATAAATAGAGCATTCCAGTGTTTAGGTTTCTATATAGAGGATAAAATCATTGAGATATTTATTTATTTTATTTTATTTTATTTTATTTTGGTCAGTCCTTATTTGAGGATATTTTTCCATTGATTTTTAGGGAGAGTAGAAGAGAGAGGGAAAGACAGAGAAACATCGATGTGAGAGAAGCACATCCATTGGTTGCCTCATGCACAAGCCCCAACAGGGTCCAGGCTGGGGAGGAGCCTGCAACCCTGGTACGTGCTCTTGACCGGAATCAAACCCGGGACCATTTGGTCTGCAGGCCGATGCTCTATACACTGAGCCAAACCAGCGAGGGTAAAATTTTTTTTTATCTTATCTATTACAGATCTTTAATTCATAGTTTTGTGATTCTTTTTATATGTAAGTCTGCCTTTTCCTTACATAACTTCAGTTTTCACCAAAATAAAATAGAATGTTAAATCTAGTAATGTCTAATCTGATTTCTAAAAAATTTTAAATTGCTAATAGGTTTCAGTTTATTTATATTTTATTTATTTAATTTTACTTCCTACTAATGGTCTAACACAGTGGTCATCAAACTGTGGCTCAGCAGACTGCGGATAGTGAGCCACATGCGGCTCTTTGGCCCCTTGAGTGTGGTTTTTCCACTAAATACCGACTTCTGCGCATGGGCCACGAAGTTTCAATTGCACTGTACGTGCACGCCCGCACCTGGTATTTTGTGGAAGAGCCACACTCAAGGGGCCAAAGAGCCGCATGTGGCTCGAGAGCCACAATTTGCCAACCACTGGTATAACCTAATCTATAATAATAAAAGCATAATATGCAAATCGATCGAATGGCTGAACAGCAGGACTACCATGCTATGACACCCACTGGCGCCAGGCCAGCCAAGGCGGTGCGATGCAATTGGTCGGGGGCCCGGCCATCGCCCCATGATAGCCCTGTAGAGGGAGGCCTAGGCCACCGGCCAGAGGGGCGATCGATCAATTGGGGGACTCCACGATTACCCCATAGAGAGAAGTCCAGGTCACTGGTCAGTGGGGCAGTCAATCGGGGGCCTCCACAGTTGCCTCAAAGAGGGAAGTTCAGGCTACCGGCAGGTGGGCGGGGCCTCCTTCTGCCTGGGCGATCCATCATGGAGCTCCGGCTGAGTGGGCAGGGCCTACCTCTTTGGGGTGATCTATCATGGGGCTTCCAGACTGTGAGAGGGTGCAGGCCAGGCTGAGGGACCCCCCTCACCCCTAGTGCATGAATTTCATGCACCAGGCCTCTAGTTTTGGTAATAATAGGCCCATATGAAAATCTGTGTTATTTACATTATAGTCTCTCATGATGTAAGTTTTTACCCACCTATAAATTTATCTCTCACTTTGGAGCAGCAGTTCTCAACCTGTGGGTCACGAACAATGAAAATACATCCTGCATATCAGATATTTACATTATGATTCATAACAGTAGCAAAATTACAGTTATGAAGTAACAACAAAAATAATTTTATGGTTGGGGGTCACCACAACATGAGGAACTGTATTAAAGGGTCACGGCATTAGGAAGGTTGAGAACCACTGCTTTGGAGGAATGTGTGAGTCACAAGGGTGACACTGATGAGAATGCCTAAAGCAATAGATCATGCTTGATGTAAGTTTGAATTGACATTGTCCATAACTACCCTGGAGTCCCAGAACACTAATCAGGCTGCATAGGGACAAAAAGGATAAATCTTTACTTTTGTCTTGTTCCATGTTTCAATCTGGAAATATTCTACAAGACCAGTTTCCTCTAAGTACATAATACTTTCTGATACTACAAGTTTTTGTTTCAATATTGCATCTGTTTGCTCTGGCTGCTATAACAAAATACCACAGACTAGGTGGCTTAAATAATAGAAATTTATTTTCTCATAGTCAGGAAGTTCAAGATCAAGGTATAAACAGGTTTGGTTTCTTCTGAGGCCTTTATTCTTTGCTTGTATGGCCATTTTTTTGCCACGTCCTCATGTGGTTGTATCTCAGTGTGTGTGGTCTGTGTCCTCATCTCTTATAAGGACACCAGTCATATTGGTATAAGGCCCACCCATATGACCTCATTTTACCTTAATTACCTCTTTAAAGACCCTATCCAAGTACATTAACATTCTCAGGTACTAGGGGTTAGGACTTCAACATATGAACTTCGTTCAGCCATAATAGGTATCAAATTGCTAACAAAATTTTCCAAGAAATAACTTATTTTCTAGCTGATGTTTTTATGCTTAATTAAGAAAAACTGGCTAGATTTGAATCTCTTAAAGGTCTATATACATCTTTTTTATTTTATCCAATTAATTTTAGGCTTTTCTATGCAAATTCTTAGGTGTACTTCTTAGATATATGTGGTTCATTCAGTAATTGGAGTGCTCATGTGCATTTTAGTTTACCCATATTAGACATGTTTCTCCAAGGTACAACTTCATATCGAGGTAATAAAATATTTAGAGACCTATAAATTCCTTCTGGTTATAGTAGTTATATTTAGTTTATTTTGAAGTTCTTTATGCAGTCTGGTTTGAATGGTACTCCAATTTATATCTCTGATTCTTTGACTTCCTAATTGTTGAAAACATTCCTTTTTGTACATGCTATGCTATCTTCCAGTTTCCCAGTAAGTTAATAATGAATAGTTTTTTTCAACTATTACTCATTATATATAATTTATTTCTAGGCTAGGTCTAAGTCCTTTACAAATATCAACTCATTTAATTCTCATTTCAACCCTATATGAAAAGTTTTATTAATATTTCTATTTTACAATTGAAAAAAAAAAACCGAGACAGAGAGAATAAGTCATTTGTCCAAGGCATACAGCTACTAAGTGTTAAGGCTGAGATTCAAACTCAAGCTACCTAGCTCCAGAGTCCATGCTCTTTCTTACTCATTCACTATGAAAATATAAAAATATATATATTTAACAAACTTAGATAGGAAAGCTCTAACCAGGATGGGTTCTCACCTCTGAGACATTTTTGAAGTATATTCTGGTATTTCACTCCAGATTTTAAGTCATGCTGCAGATAAGTGTAATATAGTAGGAACTGGAAAAGGGTCAGAGGACCTGGGTTTTGATCACTCTTTGTCCTTTAACTTCTTGTAGGACCTGACTGAGGAAATTATTTAACTTCTCCAGAGGTTTAAAGCAGGGATACCTTTCTATCTGCTAAATAAGGACTTTTGAGGATCAAATAGAGTACCTGTGAGATTTAAAGATCTTGGCAAAAGTACATATCAAGCTGGCATTCTTTCATTTGTTATAATTCAGTAATCCCTCAATTTTCCAGAAGTCAGAGGTACAGCAAGTGAGCCACCTAAAATAGCAGCCTTAAGTTTAAAAACAGAATAGAGTAAAAAAGCTATCTTAAAATCTACTTAATTTATTCCACTGAAGATATTGTCAGGCTTCATTTACTGCCTCTTGCCTTTTATCTTACATGCAGCTCTAATAAGTTTATTTGTTCAACTTCTCAGCACAAAAACACCTCAGAAGAAGCAATCTAGAGGTATGCATATTAAAGGGCTGGATAATTATTTTTAGTCAGGAATATTGACAGAAGCAAGAGATTATGACAAGGAGAAAAAGGAAATATAAATAAATTAAGGTAAAAATACAAAATTTAAAAAGCAGCAGCCTGGTACCATTTAGAGTAGGGATAAGTAGTCCTTTATGTCATCGTAATAGTTTTTAAAGGCAACACTACATAATGATTTAGTGATAATATAATAGATATAGTAATATGACATAATTCATAAAATGATATTTATAATATAATATTACTATAATAAAGTATTACTTTTAGTTTAATGTAATAATAGATATACATATTTCTAAATGAATAAGCAGTCTTTCCAAAGAGAATTTAAGATTAATAATTAAAGCAAAAGCTTCAATTATCTGGTAAATTCACTAGTGTGGAACATCTATCAGTGCTAGAAATAAAACACTATTCATCACTGTAAACATGTGAAATATGGACATTTATATTGCATTACACAGATATTTAATTAAAACTTCTAATATTCAGCACAATTGCCATGTTGAGGTAGCCTTGGGTTTTTAAGAAAATTAATATATTTAATATAAAAATTAAAACAATAGCAATTTATTATTTCTTGTGATCCAGGAGGTTGGCTGGAAAATTATTTCAAGTTTTTTATTTACATACTAGAGGCCCGGTGCACAAAAATTTGTGCACTTGGGGGGGTAGGGGGGTCCCCCAGCCCGGCCTGTGCCCTCTCGCAGTCTGGGACCCCTCGGGAGATAACGACCTTCTGGCTTAGGCCTGCTCCCGGGTGGCAGAGGGCACGCCCAATCCCTAGGTTCAGCCCCTGGTCAGGCTCAGAGCAAGGCCAATTGGGGAGTTGGGGCGCCGCCCCCTGTCATGCACAGAGCAGGGCAGATCGGGAGGTTGCGATGACACTCTCAGTCACGCTCAGGGTAGGGCCGATTCGGGGGTTAGGGCACCGCCCCCTGTCACACTCAAGGCAGGGTCGATGGGGAGGTTGCAGCGCCACCCCCTGTCACTCACAGAGCAGGGCCAATCAGGGGGTTGGGGCGCTGCCCCCTGTCACTCACAGAGCAGGGCCGATCAGGGGGTTGGGGCGCTGCCCCCTGTCACTCACAGAGCAGGGCCCATCAGAGGGGTTGGGGCTCCATACCCTGTCACACACAGAGCAGGTCAATCAGGGGGTTGGGG